CAGCGAGGGGCTCACGCGCGGCAGCGGCAGCCCCGAGTTGCTGTTCTCCTGCGGGGACAGCATGCCGTGATCCCTGCGGGAAACAGCGGCGAAGGAGAGGTCACGCGGAGCCTTGTCCAAGCCCTCGGCTGCTCCTGCCCTCTCTGCATCTCCATGAAGCCTGGAGAGCAGGAGCTTGCAGGCACTGCTGCAGTCAGATATCCCCCTTCCAGCCCTTCTTTCGGAGGCTGCTCCTGCCCTCTCTGCATCTCTTTTCAGTGGTGGCCACTGATAGGACTAGAGGAAATGGCCAGAAACTGAAACACCAAAAATTCCATAGGAACTTAAGGCAAATTTTCTTAACAGTGGGGGTGACAGAGCCCTGGAACAGGCTGCCCAGAGAGGTTGTGGAGTCTCCTTCTCTGGAGATCTTCAAAACCCGCTTGGACGCAGCCCTGTGCCACGTGCTCCAGGTGACCCTGCGTGTGCAGGGGGTTGGACTAGATGATCTCTAGAGGTCCCTTCCAACCCTAAGCATTCTATGATTCTATGATTCTATGATCTCCATGAAGCCTGGAGGGCAGGAGCTTGCAGGCACCGCTGCGGTCAGACATCCCCCTTCCAGCCCTTCTTTCTGATCCAATTCCGGAGCTTGGAGGGCAGAGGCAGCCCCAAAGCCTCCCCAGAACCATAACCCAGCTCAGGAGCACGGCAGCTCACCGGCTGCATCCCGGCAATGTCACCGACGCTCCAGCAGGAAGACCACGCCGCGAGCGCTCCCCTCCAACCCAGCCTCCCTAACGCAGTCCAGCTCCACGGACTCGGCTCACCCGGTTCTACCTGTTCTCCAGAGCCTCTCCCTCCTGAAATATTTTGAGGAGGTTCTCCAGGGCAAGGCACGCGGCCGCAGCACGCCGTGCCAAGGGGGGCCTGCCTTGGCCTGCCGTCCCCCGGGGCTCACCTGTCGATGACGTGGATGCCCATGATGAAGGGCTGCATCTCCGGGCTGGACGGGTAGCAGAGCTTGCACTTGGTGTGGGCGCTGAGGACCGTTCCGTCGCTCAGGGTGAAGCGGTACGAGGGGCTGAAGGCCGTGCCACGCGTCATCACTGGGGGACAAGAGCAGAAATCCGCCCCCGTTAGCGATTCAGAGGGAGGCTGTGACGGCCCGCAAGCGTCGGGAGGAGGATGGAAAGGGCAAAACGGGCCCCAAAGGCAGAAGAGACCCTGAGCTCTGCTTGGAGCAGCACTGGGGCAAGACAGCAGCACCCTGACAGGCACAGCTGTATCCTGGGCATGTTGACCAACCCCTTGGATTCAGCCTTGGATATTTTGCAGCTCTGCAGGGTTCACACTCCAGGGATGGAGTTTGGATAAGACACGGGGAGGAAAAAAAAATAAACAGTGCATTCAGCTCAGTGCAATGCCCAAGCTTGGCCTGCAGGAGTTTGTCTTGGTCCTGCCTTCCCCGGAGGGCGCAGAGAAACCTCTTGGCTGGCACGAGGGCAGCGGCAGATCCGCAGGCTCCTCTCCAGCCCGAGCAGCTCTTCCCGCGTTACCCGGCCATTTCACTCCTGCCTCTGGCACTTTGCCATGATTATTGTGGCCTTTGGGGTGTTTTGCCCTCCCGGGAAGCGCTCGGGCAGGGGTGAGGACGGCATTCCCGAGCGGAGGAGCCCGTTACCTTCTTGGAAGAGCTGCTTGGCGTAGGACGGCTCCCTGCCCTGCGGCTGGAAGAAGGCGTAGATGCACTTGCGCACCAGGTCTTCCCAGCCCGTCCTGCCGGCCGCTCGCAGGGAGCTGGTGTCGATGGAGATGATTTTACCTGGATGAGGAGAGAGGAGCCGCGTTAGCCCCGCGCGAGGAGACAACACGGCACAACCAGGCCTGCAAAAACGGGCACGGGAACGAGCTGGAGCTCCAGGGACCTCCGCAAGGCGCAATCCTCGCGGGTAATGCGGTTGTTTCCACAGTCCTCGCATCCATACACAGCTCCAAGCCTGACACAAACCAACCGCCACCCCCCGTGGACAGCAGCCACGGCAGGGGATGGACGGACGCACGGCCCGCGAGCGGCCGCGCGCGCTGGCGCTCTTCCAGCTCGCCGAACCCAGCATTCCGCAGCCCCCGGGATCCGCGATGCCGACGGGAGCGCGATGCGGCCGGGACCCTCGGGCTGAGCCCCGCCACCACCTTACCTGTGGTGTCCTGCTTGGTCACGAAGGACTCGGAGGGGGCGACGGCGGCGGGCCGAGGCAACCTCCTCGCGATGCAGATCAGGCAGGACTGGAAATCTGCCAAAAGCAAGCGAGGAGGAACAGCAGAGTTAGATGTTACAGCTATAGCTCGCAGGTCAAAATTTTAATTAAAATAACGCCGCCGTGCTCGAGTGCCGCGTCCCGCCCTGGAAGGGTTTACCCCAGGCAACCGCCCGGGCCTTCAAAGCAAGCAGGCTGGCTCGAAACCCGGGGTTTGCTGCAAGAGAGACGTTTCCAGCGCCGGGAGAAATTAATTGCAAAGGCTTTTCGGCTCTGGCAGCGCCGCACAATAAAAGTCAGCGCTAAAAGCCAGCGACTGTCAGCTTCAGGCAAAGAATTTGGTCGTAAAATACCGTAATTTATTCCTTCCAGTCATGATCTCTCGTGTAAACCGCAGTGGATTAATTCAGCTAATGCACTGGAAAATAATAGCTGGTATCCAGAGCTGGGAGCAAGGGCGCTTGTGGGAGAGCGTCCGCGCTCTCCCGTGCGGAGGTCCCACGTGCTGAGGAGGCCCTGCCCATCCCAAGCCCCCAATTTGAGCACCAAGAAGTTTCCATATGGAATGACATTTGGGGATGCTCAAATGGAGAGCAGGCACAGGCGCCTGGAGCAGGATCGTGCTCGGTGGCAAAGCCGTGGCCATCGCCAGCCTTTTGGTGACAACAAAATTCCCATCCCGCTCCCCACGGTGGCTTTGCCCAGCTCTGAGCCCGCCCCAGCATTTACTGCATGACCTCGTAGCGCTGCCGAGCCTCCTGGTTCTCTGCGCCCGCCTCGTCCGGCGGCCGGATCAGCATCCGGCAGCTGAACGTGTGGCTGTTGCGTCTCGTCGCTTCCTGGGGCCACGGCACTCCGTTCACTGCGCGGGAATGCGGAAAGGAGGGTTAGGGGCTGCCACCGAGCGCGGACGGATTTCCCGGAGACCCGGGGACGCCTCTGGGAAAGGGATGGGGGAAAAGAAGGAAGGAGCCCAGAGCACGTTGCCTCCTCTCATTTCTGCAGCCGAGGGGAAGGTCCCTGCGGAGCAGCAACACCTCGAGGTGCCCGTGCGAGCACCCACGTCACGTGTGGGGAGGGCAACGTGGCCCTAAAACAGCGCTCGACTTTGAGACCCGGCGTTTGAGCTCACACCCCAGAGCGAGGGGAAAAACAGCGGCAACCGAAACAATCTGCGGAGTTTGTCTGGCTGCTCCGGAATTGCGGAACTCTGGAATTCAAACCACTTTTTTTTTTTGGCGAGGCTTGCAGAATTGGCTTTGATTTTTCCATATAACTTTGTCTTCTCCATAATTTCCCTTGCACCAATTTAAAGGCAGATCGTGCTGACGCTCTAGCAAATCTCTTCGGGGATATTTGTATTCACACCGAGTGATTTTGCCACCAGCAGGCTATGAAGCTTTCAAATAAACTGACCTACCAGAAGAGCTGAGAGACTCAAGACATCCAAATGAAGGCAAAAACCAGCTGTTCACAACCTCAGCCTGGGTAACCACAGGGCTCAGACCAAACCAGGTTCAACGTAACGAGCGTCTGTGAATCTGGGGGCTGAGGGTCAAGACATCCTTGTCTTCTGCAACTCATTCTTCTGCATGAATTTGTTTTCTGCACTGCAGGATCCTCTTTTGAGTCCACCAAGGACCCACATCGAGTCCAGGAGGAAAAGCTTGGGCTTTGGTGGCCTCCAGCACCACAGATGTGCCTCCACCTCGGTGTACATCCCGCATCACTGCTCTCCGTGTCTTGTGGTCACACTGGTTGGTGTCTTCTGCTGGCAGGGCCATCATGCGGGCTCGATGTCACCCACGGGTCCTGCTGTCACCCTGTTGACTCTAACCTACCTGGGGAAGAAGCTGCTCTGTCCTGCTGACACCTCCACCAGTGCTGCAGCTGGAGCTCCCCTGCATTGAACCCTGATCCAAGCCAACGCCTCAAAACCCTCCTTAGAAAAAGCCCGAGGACTCCGAGGAGTTTTTCCCGGAGCAGACGGGCAGCTCTGCGGCTCCAAGGTCGGTGCTCTGGGAAATCCGCAGCGTCTTGGCTCACGAAGCCTCGAGGACGTCGCGCCGGAGTCGAGGCTCCGGAACGCGCGTGTTTCCCAAAACGCCCGGGTTTTGGGGCTGCGGAGCCAGGGCAGCTTCCTGTCGGGAGCTGAACCCCGGTGCCGTGGAGCAAGGACGGGGATGTGAGAAAGGAGCGCGAACGCTCACGAAGCGACAGACAAACACCTCCTCGGGGTGAACGATGACTCCGAGTCCTCCGGTGCTGTCCACTGGCTTCACAGATACTGCAGCCGCTATTTCCTTACAAACTAGTATCAGTTTTCTCCTTAGGGGCTGTTTCTAACTCGGGAAAGGTTTATGGATCATCCTCTGGGTTGTACTTGCAGCCATGGCAAACCATGCAAACCCTCCCGTTGCTGCAACGCTGCCCTCGCTGGGGCAGGAACAGCCTCCAGAAATCCATCGAGCAACAAATTCCCGACTCCCGCCTGCTGCTCCCAGGACACCATTCCCAGACCAACGTGCATGGGCCCTCGAACCCTACGAACGTGCCGGAGCTTCCCAGCGCTGGAGCCGAGCGCTTCCAAGAGCCAACCCCCTGGGATTTCAACGTTCAGCACACTGGGAAAACCCAAAGCCGCAAGCGGAGCCAAAGCATCTCCCCCGGATGGGGACAGGAGGATGCGGGAGCGTGTCCTTACCGAGGGACTTGGGCAGCAGGTTCTTGACGAACTCGGCGTGGTCGCCCACGTGCAGGATGCTGTAGACGCTGGTGTTCATGAGCTCCTCCTGGTTGTAGCCCAGGTAGCCGGTGACGTTCTCGGAGACGAAGACGATGCGGCCCTCGCGGTTCACCACGAAGAAGAAGCCGTCCAGGGCCTGCAAGAAGGGGGCAGAGCGGTGAGGGCGCCGGGGCCCTGCTCCCGAGCGGGATCCCGCACCCGCTCCGGCCGGAGGAACCTGCAAAGCGCAAGGGGGGAAACCACCAAACTTCTAAAAAATGGGATTTTGCTGCAGAGCGACACGAAGTGCGAGAAACAGGAAGCGTTTGAAAAATAAATAAAAGGGGGTGAAAAAGAGGAGAAATCCTTTGTGGAAACGGTTCTGGCAGATCCGCTGCAATTTGCCGTGTTCGCCGCTGTTGCCAAGACGACGGCACGTGGCGCTCCGGGCGCCCGGAACGGAGCCGGGCTCCTGCGGCGCCGCTGCCGCCTCCCCCGTTCCCCCCACGGCCCCGCAGGCCCCTCTCAGCAAAGGTGACCCCGTGAATTCGAGTATTTCAGCGAGGAAAAAGAGCTCAGGTGCAAATCCTTGTGTCAGGGTGCAAACCCCTGTGGTGCCAGGGTGCAAACCCTTGTGCTTGGGTGCAAACCCTTTTGCCAAGGTGCAAACCCATGCAGTGCTCAGGTGCAAACCCTCCTGTGTGGGTGCAAACCTCTGTGGTGCCAGGGTGCAAACCCTTGTGCTTTGGGTGCAAACTCTTTTGCCAAGGTGCAAACCCATGCAGTGCTCAGGTGCAAATCCTTGTGCCAGGGTGCAAACTCCTGGGGTGCCAGGGTGCAAACCCTTCTGCTTAGGTGCAAACCCTTGTGTCAGGGTGCAAACCCCTTGCAATGCTCAGGTGCAAACCCTCACGTGTGGGTGCAAACCCTGGTAGTGCCAGGGTGCAAACCCATGCAATGCTCAGGTGCAAACCCTTGTGCTTGGGTGCAAACCCTTGTGCCAAGGTGCAAACCCCTGTGGTGCCAGGGTGCAAATCCTTGTGCTTTGGGTGCAAACCCTCGTGCCAGGGTGCAAATCCTGTGTCAGGGTGCAAACTCTTGTGTCAGGGTGCAAACCCCTTGCAATGCTCAGGTGCAAACCCTCACGTGTGGGTGCAAACCCTGGTGGTGCCAGGGTGCAAACCCTTGCAGTGCTCAGGTGCAAATCCTTGTGTCAGGGTGCAAACCCCTGTGGTACCTGGGTGCAAATCCTTGTGCCCAGGTGCAAATCCTGTGTCAGGGTGCAAACCCCTTGCAGTGCTCAGGGGCAAACCCTCATGTGTGGGTGCAAACCCTTGTGGTGCCAGGGTGCAAATCCTTGTTGCTTGGGTGCAAACCCTTGTGCCAGGGTGCAAACCCTTACAGTGCTTGGGTGCAAACCCGTCCAGGGCTCAGCTGCAAACCCTCGTGCCTGGGTACAAACTCCTGTGGTACCAGGGTGCAAACCCTCGTGCCCAGGTGCAAACTCCTGTGGTGCCAGGGCGTAAATCCTTGTGCCCAGGGTGCAAACTCTTGCACTGCTCAGGTGCAAATCCTCCTTCTGAGGTGCAAACCCCTGTGGTAGCAGGGTGTAAACCCTTGTGCCCGGGTGCAAACCCTTGCAGTGCTCAGGTGCCAGCTCTTGGGTGCAAACCCTCAAGGTGCCTGCGTACAACAGCTCATGCGTGGGTGCAAACCCTCGTGGCTGGATGCAAATCCTTGTTGCACCCGGGTGCAACATCCTCTGAGCAACCCTCACCTGCAGCTCAGTTTGGGGAGGACGGATGGGGCAATGGGAAGGGGGTGTCCGGAGGCAAATCCAAGCAGGAATAGGGTGAATTTGCAAGCATGACTCTGTGCACGTAACGCCCCGAGCTGCCTGGGGACGGGCTCTGCCCCAGCACCCGGGCAGGAAAATGCCACACCAGCAGCAACGTTGCTCTGCATTAAGCGCCCCTCTGCAGTTTAAAACACTTAAAATTACTTTCTTTGTGCTGTTCATGGATGTCCCAACCCAGACAAAAGGTCAAGAGGCACAAAACTTCCCTGAAAATAAACGCTGGGCTCTTCAGAGAACCAGGGCTTCCCCGGCGCCTTCCCAAGATTCCGCCCCAACTCCAACACCTTGCTCCATGCTGCAGCTGCTCTTTAGATAGATATGCAAAATGATGCATCTATATAATGCAAGAAACTTCTCCCAAATGGGGAAAATATTCCTGCAGAGAAGGCCGAAGTTTCCTTGTGGGTCAAACCAAGTTGGAGCAAGGTGGTTTTGGCACAACCGGCACCTCCGGCGCCGCCTCCTGCGCTGCTGCCAGGAGGAGGCCCATTACCAGATCAGCCCTTGGTGGGTATAAATAACAGCTTTTCAGCATGATTTAGAGGTGTAAATAATAATTGGGATCTAAAGGCGTATTTCAATCAGCTGGAGTGCTTATTTGCAAAGCAGCCTTTGCAGAACAGCAGCGCCCTTGTGCTCTTCCCTGCCGAGCCGACGCGCCGGCACCCGGCAATCCAGCCCCGGCGCTTGCTTATTCCACCCGTTTCCTCCTCTCCGTAATGACCACAAGGTTTTTGGGTGCCGTTTGCATCGCCAGGTCAGCCCGGGTGCTCTCCGAAGCATCCGGCCCCTGCTCTGCGCCTTGGCCAAAGGCTCCAGCAGCGCCGTCGCATCCGGATCCTGCATCCTGGTGGATGATAAGTTGACCATGAGGCAGCAGTGCCCTCGTGGCCAAGAAGGCCAATGGGATCCTGGGCTGCATTAAGAAGAGCGCCGAAACACCAAAAGTTCCACAGGAACTTAAGGAAAAATTTCTTCCCAGTGAGGGTGCCAGAGCACTGGAACAGGCTGCCCAGAGAGGTTGTGGAGTCTCCTTCTCTGGAGATCTTCAAACCCGCTTGGACGCAGTCCTGTGCCACGTGCTCTAGGTGACCCTGCGTGTGCAGGGGGTTGGACTAGATGACCTCTAGAGGTCCCTTCCAACCTTCAGCATTCTGTGATTCTATGATTCTATGATCTTCCCACGTTGTGCCGTACGCTGCGGATCGGGCACCTTTGAGGACACGACTCTGGCTGGGTGTTTGGGCCCTGCTCCTCATCCCTGCTGCTTCCAGGCCTCGCTCCCAGGACAATTTTGGCTGTTTGGCATCACCAAACGCAGCCTCCGACTCCTTCTCCCAAAAAACCCCACGCTGCTTTTCACCTCCCGGTTATTTACTGGGCTCCGAGTGGAAATGGCAGGGTAAATCTATGGGCTGTTTTATGCCAGCAATTATGCTATTAGAGGTAATTACGTGAAACGGATTATTAGCCCGTGCTCTTTTGGTCTCCAAACCTGCAATTTTATAAAGCGCTCGAAAGCAAGCGAGGTCCCGCTGGGAAGGTCCCGCCGAACGCTGCCGGATTTATCAAGCCCCTTTGCAGCTCGGTGCAAATAATATATATAAAATATGATAGGAAAATGAAATAATCTGCTTAAGCAGCGGCCAAGCACCTACCTCCAGCAGCAGCGGCCCCAGCGACTCCTTCTCGATCACTCCTTGGCTGCTGGATGAGATGTCCGACTTCTGCACCTCGTCGTCGGCCGCTTTCTCTGCAGCAAAGGAAAAGGCAGGTTTGAGGCCGGGGAACCGGCTCTTCCCATGGGATCGCCACTGGGAGCTGGCAAAAATATTGGGACCAAACTGGCTTTTCCCAATGTCGAGTTGCTCCGAGGACAGGAGTCCGAGAGGCTTCTGCGGTTTCCTTTAATCCCCTGGCCTAGGGAGGGGGGAAGAAGCTGGCAGAAAGAGTTAATGTCATTTTTAATCACAGCAAAATGTAGGTTTTGGTGATTCAATGAGCTGGGGCCACCATGAAGGCAGTCAGATACCGAAGCTGCAAAAATCATGGCAAAAGGGTGCCCTGGTTTTCCAACACCCAGCAGGATTTACAGGTGCCTCCAAAGTCTAAGGCAGTTGTGGTCCCTGGCAGGCCGAAAAATCACATCACTGATGTGAAAAACGCCCAGAAAATTAAGTTTCTTATCAAATAGTCCCCAAATCAGGATGTTATTTGCATTTCCTTATCGCAAAGGTTGTTAAGGTATTTCATCGTGCAGCGACCTTAGACCACTGCCAAAGGCTGTTTCATCGTGCAGCGACCTTAGACCACTGCCAAAGGCTGTTTCAACCCCCAATTCTAGGAGAAATGTTTGCTTTTCATGTCAGAAGACTGAAAATCCCTTGAGTTTTCCAAGAAAAAAAAAAGGAGGAAAAAAAAGAAGAGAAATGAGCAACCTGAAGGAAACAGTGTCCCCGCAGCAGGACCTTGCCTGGATCTGAGCTGGGCGCTGGGACACTGAGTTGATTGAAAGGGGAGGTGATTTTGTGAAGACCCAGGTCATCAACCGTCCCTGTAGCTGTGTCACCTGCAGGAGCCATGCAGGGAATTTAAAGAAAAAAAAAGGAAAAAAGCAATCTGGAAAAGAAAATGGAAAAAAAAGCACCCGCAAAGAGTTGCTTGCTGTCGCACGGAGCCTCCCTGGAAGCTGCGGATTTAATCACGGCCCAAAGCACCGCGCTCGGAAACACGGAATCCGCCCGGCCGAGAACACGCAAAGCCGTGTTCATCCATCAACGCGATTCCCAGGTGGAACACCGGGCACGCATCAAGGTTAAAATTGTGATTTCAAGGTACCTTTCAAGCGTACCAGCTAAAGATACAAGAGACCAGTGTTTGTGTTAACAGAATCGGGTTGATTTTTCCCTTCCGCTTCCCCGGAAAGCCCTTCCAAGCGAATATTCCCAAACCAGGACAACGTCCCACCGTGTTTCAGTGCAATCCACCACGCGGAGGTGACAGCAGCGAGACGGTTCCTACCAGCACGAGGGCTGGAGCCTCCGACCCCGACGAGCCAACGCTTGGGAACGGCCACGTCGGGCTCATAACGACCTGGCTCTGCGGTAGGTCCTCAATCTGGATGGAAACCACCTCTGGCAACACCACCCAAGTGTCTACATTGACAACAGCGTTGTATCAACAGTTATATCAACAGTTATCAACAGACAACAGTTATAGCTCCTAACAGTTCTCCAGGGTGGGACGGTCCAGCGAGGACTTCTTGTTTTCTAGTGGTTACTGTTTTCCGGAGCTGCTCTCCTCAATCTGCAGGAGGATCCCGTGAGGTTATCAGAGTGACCTGTGACTCAACCTCATGTCCCAATTTGCTGGAAATCACCCTGCTCCGATGATGTTTGCCTGGGTGGAAACAGCCTCATAAATGTGAGCTTGGATCATATCCATCATTTTAGCTTGCCTTTGTCAAGAACTTGTGCCTTTCTATCTCTCTGGAGAAAAACGAACTTTGGAAAGGAACTAATCCATGAAGAGCAGAGCTAACCAGGTCTGGGTGCCTTCTAGACTACGTGTTTCATCTCCTGCTCTCTGCCCATTACCTTGCTGAAGACTTTCTCCATGCACTGACCAGCCACAGACCTCCTGGCAAACACAACATATGATCAAACAGTCATTAATTCTTTAAGAATAGCTCATCAGCAAACACAAAATGCCCAGAGATGGTGCAGATTTCCTCCTGCATCCCGCTGCACCATCATGTTTTGGTTGCTCTCCTTCTCCATGGAGAGAATACGACTCTTACAGGCAATAAGTCCATTATTTTTGTCGTGTACCTACACATTAACGGGCACAACCACGTTCCTTCGGCCTACACAGTGCGAATGCATCAAGACACACCAGTTTAATGCATCTGACTCTTTCTGCAAACAACACAAAACCAACACGTTGGAGCCCTGCGTTCCCCCTAACCGACGGCTACGCGCTCGAGTAAGTGGCCATCTATGACCTCCTTCCAGCCGAGGAGCTCGGGGAGGCCGCCCCGTCGCTTCCCTGGAAAAAGCCGGAGGCAGAAATCACCATTAAAGCTGCTATTTGACAGCTGCAGAGCGGAGGCGGAACCTGCTTGGCTTTTCCAGGCCTTGCTGGAGCACGTGAGTTCGTTACCAGCCTCTTGGTAATGAGAAGCTCTAACACCTACAGCTTGGGCCCAAGGCAGCAACCTCTGCTCCGACCCATTCCCTGGCCAGCTCCATGTGGAAAAACCTGGATTTTAACTTGCCCAACACGCCAGCAGCAAAGGAGAGCCCGCTGCCCTCAAAACAGACGGAAAAGGTGCTTCTTTCTGCCTTCACACCTCTCGGAGTTAAACATTAATGGAGGGTAGATGTCTTAAGCGAAAAAGGCTGCTTGTCTGAACAGTGTCAGGAAAAATTATACGGTGCCGACCGAATGCAAAATTAATGAGCGCTGAACGCTGACAGGAGGACAGGACGGAGGAGCTCCGAGATCCAGCGGGTGGAAGGGAATAAAGGAATAAAGGGAGGAGAAAAACTTTCATCTCCAGCTGCAGGATTTAATGAGTTCCCCCCAAAACGGTGTCAGGGCGGATCTGCGGAGAGGAGAGCGCAGGCGGCTCCCCCTCGGCGCTGGCGTAGCCTCCGTTCTCCTCCTGCAGGCACAAACTGCGTTACAACACGGCTTTAATGAGCCGATTTAATTAATTTTGCAAAGAATTAGACCGACTGTCTGTTCCCGGATCCCGAAGCTGCATCCCGAAGCCCCGCACGCTGGAGCCCACCAGAAGTCGCTATGAAAAATGCAGCGGTGCCAAGCGCCGGGCGCGTCGCGGGGAGCCGGTGCTTCCCGGTGGCTCCCGAAGCGCCGGCTCCTCTCCCCATGCACTATCCCTGTGCCTCCCGTCTGTCCCTGCTCTCTTGCAAATGGAAAAACTGGCAACCTGGAAGCGCGGAGGGGACGGGGTGCTGTGCGGAGAGCAGCGCTCGCTCGGTCCGTGGATGCAACCGCGGCTCCAGGCTGTGGGATGGCAACCTGGGGACCAGGAGGATGCTGCTTTTTTGGTAGATCTGCCCAGATCCTGCTCAGTTTCAGCCTCTCAAAGGAGCTTTGAATCTTTGCGTGCAACCCCTACACCAACCTCAACCCCCTGGAGCTTCCCAGCTCTCAGGGCCCGGGGGGCAAAGGGCTAAGAGGCCACTTGGCTCAAACCTCAATCATCTTGAGGGTCTTTTCCAACCATAATGACCCTAAGATCCGTTTTGGTGCCCATCCCCAGGAAAGGGCCCGGGGAAAGGGCTCTCCGTAGCGCGGACTCCGTGATTTAGAAGGCAGTTAGCCGAGGCTGGCAGCTCAATTAATTACGGCACGCACGTCCTGGGATGCAGGCGGGAAGCTGCCCAAACTGCAAGGGCAGAAAGAGGAGCTCCAACATCATCTCCAGGCTCCCGGCGGCGCCCGCGGCTTGGCCGCGCTCCAGGCCCGGCGCTCCGTCCTCCGGCTCCGGCTCCTCTCTCAGCGCTGCAAAACGCCCCGGGATGAAACGGGGCCGCCCGGAGGTGCCCGCGCTCCAGCTCTGCTGCTTCCAGGGATTCATCCCGCCCCTCCGAGGGCGAAGGGGAAGCGCTTCCCTATGGATGAGCCTCGCTCCTTGGGAACACTTAGATCATTGCCATTGCCTAGGGCAGGCAAACCTGCAAACATCCCTCTCCAGGAAGGACAAGGTGGCCCAGGAAAAAGGACATTCCGGGAAGGGGGTTTTTCCCTCTCATTTTCTGCCCTTCTTAAAAACGAGGCAGAATCAAGCAAAAAAAGAGGAGCTCACCCAGCACAGCAGAAGGCAAGAGGAGGAGTCTTTTCTACAGGTGGTTTATGAGTCTCTGCATGATCCACACGCCTGTTACGTCCTATCAGATCCTTTTCTTACAGCTAGGTGCTAAAGGATTTATTAGTTCTTGACAGTGTGAGATGCTTAAAAGCTTGAGGATATAATAGCCAAATGTTCACTCGTTAAAATAAAGGCAACGTTTGGAGAGGCCTGTGCAATTCTTAGCAGCCTCCCCCTTCCCTTTGTGCTATATTTAACCTGCCAACTCGATTAAAACTGTCAGGAGAGGAATGAGAATTTTATTGACAGGCTTCGTAGGTGGCAGGGCTCTCTAAAATAAACATATCCAGAGGATGCTCCCTGGTGTCGCCGTGCAGGCAGCGATGTTTGCAGCGCTGACCTGGGGGAGTTTGTATCCGAAATCAATCCCTGATAGCGAGCGGATTCCCGGGGATCTAGGGAGACAGGCTTCCCGACGGGATACGCAGCCTTCTGTGCCTTTCCCATCGAAACGCCTGGAGGAGAAGAGAGGCAGGGCGTGAAACTCCCGGATTCGGCTCCGAGGGGCTCTTCACGTGCCCCATCCGCGCTGGAATTGGGGCTGGGAGAGCATCACCTAAACCCACGCAACAATTCCCGCCTCCGCTTGCCGCTCCGCGTGGATCCGACGCGTTCCCCGCGCGCAGGACGCGGGAAGCAGGATCTCCACGGTGAAGATTCACCAGGTTGGAGGCCAGGGGAGCTCCTCGGAGGAGCCCATCTAACTTCCTTTTGGACACGCTGCAGAGATCTCCAGCTTTCCAAACCACGAGACGTTTTCTCCAGCCCTTGAATCACGTTTGTGGCTCTCCTTTCCACCTTCTCTACACTCTCCCATCTCCTTTTTCTCCAGCACAGCCACCAGACCTTCCTTG